GGTTATATCCTTTGCACAGCAAGCACCCGCTGTTCACGCGCCCCATGGATTATTGGTCATAAGCAATTTATCACGCACCCAAAGGCAAACTGTGATAGGCTAGCATCTTGCTGTTTGCTGCATACTTGTGCTTATCTTAGCCAGATACATAGCTGGGAAAATTCCTCATTTATCTTTACTCAGCAGATACAGTTCCTCACAAAACAGCCCTTCAAGGTCATTCTCGTAACACAGGTGTTGTTAGCAGTCTGATCTCAGGCCTGGATTGTCCAAACCTTGCAACAAAATATCGTGGCCGTTCTCTGTCAGAAATGCTTCTACAGTGAATAACCCTGTTACTGCATATCATCATCACTATGGTTGACACATACTATACTAATGGCATCATATTAAGAATCAACCAGGTTAATGAAGAAGGAACTCTGATGATGTCAGGACTAGTTTCAGCAATGGGCACCCAGCAACTTCCTCGAGATTGACATCTTCAATCTGCAGACCGTGAGCATGAACTGTGCCAGACAGATCAGCTACAAGCTTCAAATGTAGCAGACAAAATACACCATCCTCCTGCTGCATCCCATGTCACCCGCTCCACCAACTGAACCAACTCCTCATCATCCCTCCTCCCTTGAAAGAATGTCATGACAGATAGAACCCAAAGTTATGGACTTGTTGTGGTTTGAGCCTGGTCAGCAGCTAAATGCCACACAGCCGCTCACCCACCCTCCCCCCACTTGGGAATGGGGAGGGAATCGAAGGGGCAAAGGGAGACTCACAGGTGGAGAGAAAAACAGTTCAATAACAGTAACAGAACAATACACTGACAGCAGTATCAGCGGGTGAGGTACCATACAGCTGCTCACCACCCGCCTGCTCCCAGCCGGCTATTCCGAACCCCAAGGCCCCACGGCCCCACTCCCAGAAGTGGCCCCTCTCCCACCTTTATATAGTGAGCACAGTGTCACATGACACGGACCATCGGCCAATCGGGGCCCAGCCCTCCAGCTGTGCTCCCCCCGCCCCCGCCCCCAGGTGAGGGCACTGGGCCCTGGGGAGCCCCGGGGGTCTCAGGGGGCTGCAGCTCCTCCCGCTGCCGGACCCACGGGAGCTCTAGGCCAGCCCCAACAGGGACAGGACTAAATGAACTCGCTACACATTTTGAAGGGATGGCCCATATACTGCAGGAATGACATCTGTGTGTATATATGAAACCCCACCCCCACATCCCCAGTGTCCCCCAACCAGGCCGACAGCTTCATCAGAGCCTTTTACTGTTGAGGGAGCGGGTCGGAGCCACCACTCAATTCTTCTTGGGCCTCAAGGCCTGAGCCAGCACCCACAGCAAGTAGCAGGTGCCTGTGGGGATGAGGGGGCTCAGGGACCCCCTGCACCCCCTCAAGGGTCGCAGTGGTCCAGGACCCCCCCCACCCCAAGGGACCCCGTCATCTGGGAGGGACCCAGCCATATGGGGGCATGCGATGGCAGTGTTGGAAAATGGGTGAAGAAAAAAAAAAGGATTATTTAGGGAACCATAAGAACACAGTTGAACACCTGCAACATGTCCGTTGCACAAAGGTCCTTGAGCTAGGAAAGCGTGATAACCACCTCCTGGGAAATGTGTAAATTGAGAGACTCGTAATAAGAAGCCCCTGTCTTTTCTCAAAGTGGGGGGAAATGTTGAGAAACTCTTTTACTAAACAATGGTTAGCTTTGAATTTAGCAAGGCCAGTAAGTAATTAATGTGTATAAAGAAGATAACCTAACCTTGAGAATAGAAACATCCGAGCAGGACAGCTCAAGCAAGGCTGATAAGGAAGAACAGCTTGGCTGGACAACAGAATTGGGAAGCGTCCAAGGAGAAGAAATTGACCTCGGGAGACTCATAATCATAAAGGGGAAAAAGGACTGGGTGACTAACTCCCCAAACGACCACCAGCGACACTCAAGAACCCTGTGCATGCATAGTGTAATTTTCCAATGCCAGCATTATGAAATGTAGTAGATAGGTGGAGAAGTGGATACTTCTCAGAAAATGTGTGAATATTAATGTCTTTAAGGTATATAAAGAATAGACTTTTGTTTTGGGGATGCATGCTGGGTGGAGTGATCCTCCGTGTATCCAATGCTGCAATAAAGACAATGCCTGCCTCTTGACACTACATTCAAGTTGTTTATTCCCAATTTCGGTGACAGTGGTGGATGCGGTCCAGATGGTAGCGGGGAGGGGACTTAGGAGTTTGCAGAGCCTCGTGGAGGATCTTGGGGATGGAGAACACATAAAAAGGGGGAGGGGTGTGGACTTGGATCTTGGCTGGGCCATGGGCAGCTTTGACCTTGACAAGACGCAGGTCTGTCTTGAGAGAAAAATGTAAACAACTGAGAGGAACTATCTTGAAAGAAAGGAAAATAAGAAAGCAGAAAAATAGGATGTCAGTGACTCAATCAGTGCGCGTGGACAAAAGACAGTAGCAAAACAGTGTATTAGCTTAGGCGCGTGAACAAGACACTAGAGCCACCAGAAAAGCTGTGACTGGCATGTGGATGATAAGAAAACATATAAATTAGCTGAAGGGGTAAGAAAGGGGGGTCTGCCTGCCTGCCTGCCTGCCTGCTTCCATGCCTGCCTGCTTGCCTATCTGTCTGCCCCCATGAAGAAATAAAGAAAAAAAGAACTCTCTGACTTGTTATTCTGGCCGCTACAGAGGGGCAGGAATTTGGGGAGCACAAGGAGGGTCTCATGCTCCCTGGGTCACCCCAGGGTAGTGACAGCAGGGAGGGGACAGGGACAGGGCGGTGGGAGCAGTGGCCAAGGAGCGCTGAGACCCAGCGCTCTCATTTCCCAGTTGAGAGGAAAGCTGAGCAGCAGGAAGGTGCCAGAGGTGGGGAGGGGGCCGGGGTTGGGGACAGGAACAGGAACAGGGACACTTGCTGCTGGACATGCGGAAGATGCCATTGGGGTCAGTGGCCAGGCAGGTGATGGCATCCAAGTGGGCCACCGTGGAGTGCATGACTTGCCTGGCGATGGGAAATGGGGGGTGGCAGCAGTGACAGGGATGTCCCCAAGCCCCTCCCCTGGCCTCATTATGGTTCACAAAACCCCCCTTCCCCCCCTCCCAGCACCTGTCTGGTTGTCACTTGTCCCTCCACCATCCCAAATGTCACCCTGGGTCAACCCAGGACCTGCCCTACCATCCCCAGTGTCCTCTTGGGTCACCCCAGGGTCCCCCAAATGCTCTCTGGAACCTCCAGGATGCCCATTATGCCCCTGAGTCAGCCCTAAAATATCCTCCAGGGTCCCGCTCGGTCACTCTTGTGTGCCCCATTGTTTCCCTGTTCCTGCTCATTCCTCTTGGGGTTCCCAGTGTCCCCCTGGGCCACCCGATAGTCCCTAATGTCCTCATGAGTTACCCCAAGGTCCCCAATGTTTGCAGGGTCCTCCAAATACCCCTGGAGTCCCCCAGGTCCTCCCTCAGCGTGACACAGCATCTTCCTGATCCCATGTGTTCCCTTCTGGGGTCCCCACTGTTTGTTTGAGTCCCCCTGGGGCCCCAAACTGCCTGGAGGTCCCTGCTGGGGTGCCCCCATGTCCCTCCAGTGCTGCTGGGTTCCCCCTGCTCCTGCTGGATCCCCTCATGAGTTGTGGAATCACTACTTTATAACCAGTAAGGTTATAAAGTAGGTATGTTTATTCAGCACTGGGCGCACGGGGGAATAATTTCCTCAAATTCCTGCCCACCAGGAGCCAAGAGGGGCTCTCTCTTATTGTATAAAACGTTACATATTCATTATCTATCCTAATATATATGCATCACTACTCCAAGGACAGGGAGGGAATATTACAGTTAGTTCCGAGAAATCATTAACATATCCCCCCCACCCCAGATTACTCCTGTTGCGCTTGCGCAGTGCTCCCTGGTGGTCGTGGGCAGGGGTCTGCAGATGAAGGCTCGTAGTCCTCTTCACTGTGTTCGCTAGCTGACCCTTACTTCTGTGCCAACTCAGTCCTGTAGTCACATACACCTTGTCCTTCGAGTCTGGGCTAATTTGCAGCTCCTTTGTTTTCATGGCTCAGTGGTTTTAGTTCCCCTCTTACCTCAAGGACAAGAAATCCCAGAGATGGCCCATCCTGTCTTCCTTCCATTCAGTCGCAAGGGAGTTACCTTCCTTTGATATGGACCATCAATGGCCCATCTTATTGTTTCTCATTCCATTGCAAGGGAGTTACCATCCTTTGATGGATGGAGACCATCTGGTGAGCATCCCATGAAGGGGGGGGAGGCTATCGGATTAGTGTTAGCATCCCTTGGAAGGGGGGGGCTACCAGGTTAGTGTTTCCTCAGATCACTCAGGACCCCCCAGGTTTCTCCTGGTGTCCCTCAATCCCCTCCCCGTGTCACCTACTCCCCTCGACCCCTCTTTGTACACTCAGGGGGGGCGCAGTCCCACTCCCCGGATCGGTGGCCCTCCCTAAATGTGCCCGTGTCCGTGTCCCCCCGCCCCCCCCGGGCACTTTAATCACCCACCCTGGGGCAATCAAGCTGGTTCGTTACTAGCTGGTGTCAGCCACTGTTTCCTGCGACCCCCCCACGGGTTGATCAAGCCCCCCCCGTACCGATCCGCTCCTCCTGGGGCCGCGTACCCCCACCCCCGGGGTCCCCCCGCCGCGCTTTGGCCCCGCACGGGAACACTGCGGGGCGGGGCGGGGCGGGGCGGGGCGGGGCGGGGCGGGGCGGGGACAGGCTGGCTCTGGCCCCGCCCCATACGAGACCACGCCCCTCGGAGCGGCCCGGCACCGCGCTTCTGCGGGACCCCGCCCCTGCCGGCGCATTGGCTTCCCGCAGAGACCTCGTCCAACCGGGGGAGCGGCTTGTGCGGGCTCTGCCGAGTTACCCAGGCCACGCCCTCCCGGCGCACGTCACGCCCCACCCGAGTCTGGCCGCCCCGGCGAGGTGCGAGCGCGGGATCCTCTGGCCTGGCCCTCCCCCCCCCCGCCCCGGGACTGGAGCCCCCCAGGGTCTGAGCCCCCCCCCCCCCCTCTTGACTTGGGAGCCCCCGCGGGCCTGGGACCCCTCGGGACTACCCCCCCACCCCGGCTCTGAGCCTCCTCCTTGCCCTGCATCTGCCCTTCCCTCAGGCCTGGCACCCCCACGGGTCTGAGACCCCCCCCCCCCCCGAGGCCGTTTGACCCCCGGCACTTGTCACCCTCCACAGATGCCGCAGCGGGGTGGCAGTGCCCGGGGCCTGAAGCAGAATCGCAGCTGCCGGTGAGGGGTGCAGGGGGGCACTGCGTCCTGCTGCGTGTCGCCCCACAGCCCCCATGTCACCCCTGCGTGTCCCCACAGTCGACCCCCATCTGTCCCCCGAGTGCCCCATGGTGTGACCTCTGTGCCCCTCCTGGTGATCCCCGTGCCCCCCCCCCCCGCATGTTATTCAGTGTCAGCTCCCCCGTGCCCCCTTGATATCCTCCCCCTGTGTCCCCCCAACTCCAGTGTCCTCCCTTTGGTGTCCTTCCATGTCCTCCCCCCTTTGCCCCCTCGGTTGACCCCCTTGTGTCATCCCCCCCTGCTGTCCTTCCGTGTCCCCTGGTGTCTTCCCATGTGTGCCCCCCCATATGCCCCCTCCCCAGTGTCCCCATCATGTCCCATCCCCAGCTGTGCGGCCCCCAGTATGGCCCCTCCATGTCCCCCCCACTGTCCTCCTATGCCTCCCACCCTTTTCCCCTCTGGTATCCCCACCGTGTCCCCTCTCTGTGTCCCCCCTCGTGGTGTTGCCTCCCCCCAGGCCCCCTCGCCGGGACTGGCGCTCTCTGCTGCCGGACCTTGAAAGGATGGTGCCGTGGCCCCGTGGCAGGGGGGGACGCCGCACCCAGGTACAGGGGGGGGTCACCTTTGGGATGGGGGACACACCTGGCTCTTGGGGGGGGAGGAAGGGTGTCAGGGGAGGTCCGGGGAGGGGGATCCTGAGTGCTGAAGGGGGTCTTGGAGAAGGCTGAGTGGGGGCAGGGTGCTGGGGGGAGACTGGAAGGGGGAATCTAGGTGCTGGGGGGCGTCTGGGTGCTGGGGAGGTCTAGCAGTGGCGCTGGGTGCTGGGGTGGGGCTGCACCCCTATACCTCCCCAGACGTCCCTGGGATCCCCCCTCCAGGCGCAGGTGCTGGAGAACGTCCTGGGATACATCCGGTACCTGCAGAGGACCCTGAGCATCATCCAGGGTGGGGCAGGTAATGGGGACCCCCCCCCAGGACCCCCCGACATTCAGGGACCCCCTCTCTGACCCCCCACCCCAGATTTTTGAGACCTCTGCCTGGCACCCTGCATCCATTGGGCCCCACCCAGACCCCCTCCCTTGCCCCCCACCCTACTTCAAGCCCTCCAGGCTCCCCCTTAAGCTCTGCCCATATGGGGGACCCCTCCCGATTGGGGGAACCCTCCACCCCATGGTGATACTCCCCCATCCTTGCAGGCCACCCTGGTGACGGTGACACCGCGGAGGTGGGACTGAGCACTGGGGCCGCATGGGGGTAGGTGATGCAGGGTGGGGGGCAAATTGGTGGGGGCACCGCTAGGTGCTGACCCCCCTTCGCCCCTCCCCCAGGTCCCCCAGGCAGTGGTTGGTGCCCTACGAGAAGGAGAAGGAGGAGGAGATGGCGGGGGCCAGCAACCCCTGGCTGGGCCCTGCTGGGCCCTACTGGGAGGCTCTGGGCTGGGAAGGGGGGTTCCCCCTGTCTCCCTGCCCACGGCAGGAGGGGCTGCTGGGGCTCAGTCCCTCCCTGCTGGCCTCACCACCCCCCCCGGGTCCCCCCGATGAAGTGGTACAAGGTAGGTCTGGGGGGGGGGCTGGAGGGGGTGGCAACACGTCTGTGTCCCCCCCCTGCTCAGTGCCACCGTCCCCCCCCCCAGCCCTCTTCGCAGACGTCTATCTCAGCCCACAGGTGGGGACTTTCACCCCCTCAGTGTTTCCCCCTCCGCTGTCACCTGCACCCCGCCGGTGTCACGCACTCCCCGCCAGTGTCACCCCCAGGGAACACGACTGTCCCTGCAGGCTCCGACAGTGGCACCACAGGAGGCAGTGGCTGATGGCGGCCTGGTGCCCCCCAGGGTTGCTATGGGGATGGGGGGGACACCGCAGGGACAACGGGGACGGGGACGGGGACGGGGACAGGGTGCCCCCCCCCGCCCCAAGAAGAAATGTGTGAATGGGTTCATCATGTTTTGCCGTCTCAACCGGAAACCCTACATGAGGTGGGGACGCAGGGACACCAGGGGGGACATGGGGACCCTGGGGAGGAGGGGGACATGGGGACCGTGGGAGGGACATGGAGGCCTCAGGGAGGATGGGGACATGGGGACCCGGGGGATGAGGACCCCAGGGAAGACATGGGGATCCCAGGGTTGATGGGGACTCTGGGGACACGGGCACCTGGAGGGGACCTGGGGAGGACCTGGGGACCCCGGGGAGGTTGGGCACTCTGGGGATATGGGGATTGGAGGAGAAGGACATGGGGACAACATGGGTACCCTGGGAGGATGGGGGCCCTGGGGGGGGGAGCATGGGGACCCCAGGGAAGAGTGGGACATGGGGACCCTGGGAATAATATGGGTACCCCAAGAGGATGGGGACAGCTAGAGGGGACATGAGCTCTGTGGGGTGACACGGGCACCGGAGTGGGGGGTGTCCTGAGATGGTGACACCCACCCCTGGTGATGAGACCAGCACCCACCCGGGGATGGCCTCCACCGCGGCCACGCGGGACCTGGCACAGCTCTGGCGCAGCCTCAGCCCCAATGAACGCCGCCCATACTGGTACATACTGGTTCATACTGGGTGTCTGGATGCCTGGGTGACCCCCCAAGCACTTGGGTGTCCCCCCTCCTGGATGCCAGGGTCCCCTGCAGTGTCCCCTCTGTCCTCCTCAGCCTGTGGGCCCGGCAGTTCAGCCGTCTGCACAACCGGGTGATGCGGCTGGATGGGGACGGGGATGGTGACACCGACCCCCCTGTGCCCCTCCAGCCACTGCTGTCTGCCTGCACTGGCACGCTCGGGGTGGGCCCTCCGCCATCTTGATGTTCTCTTCTGTCCTCATCCCTGCCCCTGTCCCCACCCCCATTCTTGTCTCCATCTCTGTCCCCATCCCTGCCCTTATCCCATCCCTGTTCTTGTCCCCATCCCTTCTCTGTGCTGGTCCCTGTCCCCGCCCCTGTCCCTGTCCGTGTCCTTGTCCCCATCCCCATCCTGGGGACAGCCCTGTTCCCGGTGGTTTTAACCCCCAAACTATTTATTCACCGAGGGGGGCTGGTCCTGCCCTGGAGGGGGATGGAGACACCTGGGGACCCTCTGGGGCAGTGGCTGTCCCAGCTGGGCACTCGCTGAGTTGGGCAATAAAATCCCTTCTGCGTCTTTGTCCCTACGTTGTCTTTCTGTGTGGCCTGTGTGTGTCTTATGTGTATTCCCCCATGTCCCTGGTTTACTCAGTGTCCCCAACCAGGCCGACAGCTTCATCAGAGGCTTTTATTTGGGGGGGACAGGTATCCAAGCCACCCCTCAATTCTTCTTGGGCCTCAAGGCCTGAGCCAGCACCCACAGCAAGTAGCATGTGCCTGTGGAGTTGAGGGGGCTCAGGGACACCCTGCCCCACCTCGAGGGACCCAGGGGTCCAGGACCCCCCAGTCCAAGAGATCCAGGTGTTTGGGAGGGACCCAGGCATCCAGGGGGGATGCCATGGCAATAGGTGCAGCCTGGCTGGTAGCAGGGAGGGGACTTGGGAGTTTGCAGAGCCTCGTGGAGGATCTTGGGGATGGAGGACACATAAAAAGGGGGAGGGGCAGGAATTTGGGGAGCACAAGGAGGGGCTCATGCTCCCTGGGTCACCCCAGGGTAGTGACAGCAGGGAGGGGACAGGGACAGGGCGGTGGGAGCAGTGGCCAAGGAGCGCTGAGACCCAGCACTCTCATTTCCCAGATGAGAGGAAAGCTGAGCAGCAGGAAGGTGCCAGAGGTGGGGAGGGGGCCGGGGTTGGGGACAGGAACAGGAACAGGGACACTTGCTGCTGGACATGCGGAAGATGCCATTGGGGTCAATGGCCAGGCAGGTGATGGCATCCAAGTGGGCCACCGTGGAGTGCATGACTTGCCTGGCAGTGGGAAATGGGGGGTGGCAGCAGTGACAGGGATGTCCCCAAGCCCCTCCCCTGGCCTCATTATGGCTAACGAAGCCCCCCTTCCCCCCCTCCCAGCACCTGTCTGGTTGTCACTTGTCCCCCCACCATCCCCAACGTCCTCTTGGGTCACCCCAGGGTCCCCCAAATGCTCTCTGGAACCTCCAGGATGCCCATTATGCCCCTGAGTCAGCCCTAAAATATCCTCCAGGGTCCCGCTCGTTCACCCTTGTGTGCCCCATTGTCTCCCTTTTCCTGTTCATTCCCCTCGGGATTGCCAGTGTCCCAGGGCCACCCCATAGTCCCTGATGTCCCTGTCAGACACCCCAAGGTCCCCAGTGTGTTGCAGGTTCCCCCAATGTCCCCTGGGGCCCCCCATGTCTTGCCCCTCTGTGACACAGCTCCCCCCTGTTCCTGCGTGTTCCTTTCCCAGTTCCCCACCGTCCATCTGAGGCCTCCTGCGGCCCCAAATTACCTGGAGGTCCCACCAGGTTCCTGCTGGGGTGCCCCCATGTCCCTCTGGTGCTGCTGTGTCCCCTTGGCAGTCCCCAAAATCTTGCTCCTGCTTGATCCCCTCAGGACACCCCAAGTTTCTCCTGGTCTCCCTCTGTCTCCTCTCCACGTACCCCTGCTCACCCCAACCCCTCTGTGTCTCCTCAGGGAAGGTTCAGCCCCCTCCTCACATCTGGGGGGTCCCCCCAAGTGTGTGTGCCCGCCCAGGCACTGCAACATGGTGCTGGAGAACATAAAGGTGATAGGGACAAAGGTGACCAAGAGAGGGAAGGGGAAGAAGAAGTTCAAGCTGGTGAACAAGGACCAGGACATCTCCAAGATGTTCCTTCATGGTAACTCCATCATGGTCGACCTCCACAACCTCCTGTCGTGGTTTGGGCCTGGTTGGCAGCCAACCCCAACGCAGCAGCTCTCTCTCCCTTCCCCTCCGGCAATGAGAAGGGACAGAGAGCCAGGCTTGGGGTCCGAGATAGGACTGGGATGGGGAAAAATTCCCCTTTATGATCACGAGCAAGAGGCAGACTCGTTAGGGGAAGACAAAAAAAAGCATACATTTATTACAGACACTAACAACACATAACAGAGTAGGACAGTGAGAAGCATCGCCACATCTTGAGAACACCTTCCCCCCACCCCTCCCTTCTTCCCGGGCTCAGCTCTGCTCCCGATATCTCTACCTCCTCCCCCAGTGGCGCAGGGGCAGGGAATGGGGGGTGCAGTCAGTGCTGCCACTTCCTTCATCTTTGGTGAGGGGAGTGTCTGGAACTTGTTCCTCCTGCTCCATCGTGGTCCCCCTCTCACAGCAGACAGTCCTCCACAAACTTTCTCCAACATGAGTTCCTCCCATGGGCCGCAGCGTTCCCCACACTGCTCCGTCATGGGTCACTAACTTCCTCTGACTGGATTCCCTCCCACGGCTGCAGCCCTTCCCGAGATGCTCCGGCGTGGGACTCCCCCGCATGCTGCAATCCTCCCAGTGCTGAATTACTGCAGTGGGGCTGCCTTTTCCCATGAGACCCCGGCCTTCTTCGGGCACAGCACCTTAATTATTCCAAGCAGAAGCCACAGGCCATAAATCAATGTCTGCTCCCCCGTAGATCTTCATGGGTGGCGGGGGGGGGGCCGCCCTGCCGTCTCCCCACAGGATACAGGGGGGTCTCTGCTCCGGCACACCTCCCCCCTCCTTTCTTCCTCCGTTCCTCCACTGACCTTGGTGTTCACGCAGCTGCAGCAACTCCTCCTCACCAGTCCCACTGCCCGTCACCACGTCCCTTCTTAAATACGTTATCGCAGAGGCGCAGCCGATTGGCTCAATTTCCCAAACAGAAGTGGAGCTGACGTGGAGCTGGGGGAGCTTCGAGAAGCTTCTCACAGGGGGCCGCCCCGATAGCCCCCTCCCCTGCCACCAAAAAACTCCACCACTCACTCAACCCAGGACATTCCACCCCTCGCCTCTGCGAATCACGTATTTAAGAGATCCAACGTTCAGTAAAGAAAACAGTATACACATGTACATCAGAACAAAGAGAAGGCAAAACCAGACTGAAAGGAACTTCCCCACACCACGGGAGGGCAGCTCTGTAGCCCGTGCTGATCGCGCGTGTCGGTGGGTGGTGGGCCCTCCCCAGGTGGCAGCGCCATGGGGTCTGGGTCTGCGGTGGGGTCTGGTGCTGCTGGCCTTGTGCGGAGTGGCCAGTGCCCACCCCCACCACAGCTCCTCCCTGTTGCTCAGGCATGACTTAGTCTCCAGGCACCCGGGGAGCTATGGGCACCCTTCTTCTGCCATGCCTAGCCTGGGCTGGACGGCTTCCCGGGGGCTGAAGTTCACCAAGCACCACAGCAGCTCCCCTGTGTGCAGCCCGTCCCAGTATGTCCCCCACTGCACCCTCCCTGCTGGCTAGTGACTGATGCAGGTCCCCGGAGCTGGGATGAAGGAAACATCAAGACAGGGCTTGGCACCTGAGGAGAATCACGGACTCCAGCAACTCTATAAGAATTGGAAATCAAAATCCCTTTATTGTCGATACAAGCGTGCTTATATGTCTTCCTAGCAACTGATCACACATAAACAGAAGGCTTGATTGGTTACATGCATTCTTCACACATGCCTAAGACTAACAATTGATTAGTTATTATCCCCTGTCCATAATACACCCGGCAATTCATTGGCTACAAGTTAGTTATTGCTATCCTAAAGCTTATTGGTTAATTAAATCGTACAAGCACAAACACAATGTTCTATACACTTTTAGCTCAATGTAGAAAACTTTCCACTGTTTAAGAAATGAACAGATGTTTCCCATCAACCGTAGCCTGACATGTTTTCCTCAGGCAGATCTCAGCATCCTTTTCTTGTTTTTCTGCATTCCTGTTTGCTACTCCCAAGGCTTCTGACCGACTAATGTCAAAATGTTCTAATCATTCACCAACTGTGCAGCACCCTCAGTTCTTCTTCCCCTTTTCGCGTCCCCTGTGCAATGTAGCCAAAGTCCTGCTCTTGTGCGACGTTGCCATTGTCATCCAAAAATGATCCCACAGGCACCCAGATGGAGAGCTGCACTGCTGAGAGGAACGGGTGGTTGACAAACCTGTCATGTCCCGGGAGGCCCAAAGGTCCGGCCGCTCTGTGAGGGGACTGATCAAGCATCGCAGCAGGCAGGGGAGGTGGCAGTGGAAGCCGTGAGACGAGGGGGCCAAGCTGCCAGGTCCTGAGGAATGGGGCATCCTCTGTGGAGGCTGAGTACCGTGACCTGCGCTGCGTCCAGGTGTGATGCCTGTCTCCTCTCTCTCTTTCACTCTTACCTGTAGGGCAGCCCACTGACAGGCTGGTTCCAGGTGTGTTCCGGGGTGTACCTCGGTGTGCTCAGCCCAGCCTCATGAAGAGGCCTGCTGCTGTCTGAGGTCACTGCTGCAGAGGTGCTGAAGGCTGAGGGCTGTGCCACAGCCATGGTTGGCAAGTGGCACCTTGGCCTGGGGATTAATGTCTCCCTCCTGTCCATACACCAGGACTTTGACCACTTATTGGAGGTACCCTACTCCCATAACCAGGTGAGAGGCCTCTCAAGACATGAAGGATGTCCTGGGGCTGGCTGGGGACAGTGCCTGAAAGATGAAGCTTGCTGGAGAGCACATAGCCTGGGGTAGTGCTTGCCTGGGCAGATGGGTGTCTGTGGTCTGGCAAGTTGGATGCTGGTAGGGAGACCCCATCTCTGAGGTGCTCATATGATAGGAGAGTTTTGCAGAATGCGAGTGGCAGTTGTCTGGGGAGATACACCCTTTGTCAGGGGAGGGAGGGTCAGCCTCTGGGCTGCAAAGAAACTGCCAAATTGCTGCCAGGAGAAAATTATGTTGGGGCAGCATGGTCCCCAGACAGTTCTAGAATGGGCACAGATCCCTGTGCTTCTGGAAGTGGTTGCCCAAAGGGTGCCTGTGGGACCTGGTGGTGGGCCACTGTGACACTCTTTGATCCGCTCCCCTCACTGTCCTGCAACACAGGTAGAAGACAAAGTGTTATTTGTTCTCTTCAGGGCCCCTGCCAGAATCTCACCTGCTTCTTACTCGAAATTATCTGGGGACTTGTGACCAAGGCTTAGTGCTATTCCCACGGCTCTGGAACCAGATTCAGCAGCCAGTCTCTTTCCCTGACCTGGTGCCACACTACAACAAAGTCTCCTGGGACTTCACTGACACTCCTTGACAAGGCCTCCCCTTCCTGCTCTACTATGCCTCCCACATAGGAGAGGGGATGGGATGCTCTGGGCCCAAGAGCGGGGAAGGGAACCTTTGTCCTGTGGGGAGTGCAGGGAAGCATCTCAGCTCCTTCAGCCCCAGGACCGTGCTGAGCAGTCAATACCTGCTCCTGGATGATCTGGGGTTGCTGTTCCCATGCCCAGGTCTTGCAGCAACACCATTCTGATAATATTCTTGGGCTGCTTCTTCCTGGAGCTTTGTCTGCTTCTCTGGGCCAGGAGTCCACCTGGGAAAACTTCCCACTCTGGGGTTCCACACCCTCTCCTATGGTTCAGCTCCTTTGCGCCATTTCTGGGAGATGCTTTTGAAGCTTGGGGACAAACCTTTCATCTCATGAGTACTGTTGCGTATCTCCATGCTGAGCCAAATAGCTATGTTCTACCTTCACTGTGTTGGTGCCATCTGCAGCAGACACAAAGTAAAAGGGCAAACAGAACTTCTGGGCAAAGTTGAAGCTCTTCTGGCTGTCATGGATTGAGCCTGGTCATCAGCCAAACACCATGCAGCCGCTTGCCCAACCTCCCCCACCTGGGAAAAGGGAAAGAATCAGAGGGGCAAAGGGAGACTCACAGGTTGAGATCGAAACAGTTTAATAATGGTAATAAAATAAAACAGTGACTGTTTAAACAGGTAATGTACAATGCAATTGCTCACCCTCTGCTGACCAACACACAGCCCATTCCTGGCTAGCGATCCTGAAACACAAAGACGCTGCAGTCACCATCCTGGAAGTGAGAGCGCGCCCCTTCCCGCCCAAACCTCCTTTATATGGTGAGCATAACATCACACGACATGGAATATCGGCCAGTCCAGGCCCAGTGCTCCAGCCATGTTCCCTCCCTGCTTCTTGCATGCCCACGCACAGGCAGGACACGGGGATCTGGAGAGTCCCTGACATCTCAGTGTGCTATCAGCATTCTTCTAGCTACCAGAAAGGACCATGAACTCTATTCCAGCCTGAAGCAGGACACTGGGTCACCTTCATATCCGCTGATGTTCCTAGCCGAGTCTTAACATGGCTTCTGTAGCATCAGGGGTTTGTGTCCAGATGTTTCTTCTGCTTCTCTAGAAGTGCAACTTCTGAAGCCATGTTGAAAATCTGGAACAAAACCAGCGCTTGTCCTCAGGGATGTTTGAACATTCATGCAACTTTTAAAGTTCAACCAGGATGCACAAAGGGAGGATGCTTGTTATTTGCTGTTACTCTGAAAACAGTCTTTGTGTTCTACTTTCCATCATGTTTTCACTCTTGCCTTTTCCTTTCCAGGGAGTGAAGCCAATTTCATCTCTTCAAGCAGCACAGGCACTATCTCAGTGCCTGAAGTCTCCGTGTCTGCTGCTGGAAGCAAAAGATCTTTGTTTTCTCTCAAATAAGCACAGCAGTTTTTTCGGGATAGTGCAAGTGTTGCTAGTGCAGAGGTAGACGACTAGGTCTGGTCTTGCAGCTAATACATACAGCATCAGTATTGTGAGTGTTAAAACAGTTTGGGTAACACTATGCTCTCAGGCAACACTCACATGGATGAGAAATGTAATACAAGAAAGAAACAAAAAAAGAGATGTTTTTGGAGAAAAAAAAATAAGGTTTTTTAGTTCTAAAAAGTTTTTGTTGTAGAAGTATTTTAAAGTTAAATATCTCATTTGATGGCATGGTACTGAAACCAAGGACAGCAGATAGTAAACTCTGCACGACAGCCAAAACCAGCTGTTTCCTCAGGGATGTTGATTTGCCAGAGGAGCCACTTGTGAGGACACTGGGGAGCCCCAAATGAGTCAAGCTTTGTATCAGTCTATGGGAAGTCTTTCTTTTTGGCAGGACTGAAGACCTCTAGGAGTGATGTTCTGTGACGGTTTGGGTTTCTTCCCTTTCCAGGCAATCAGGGATATACATTTCTTGTGGTGACAACCACGGCATTGAGCCACAAAACCGAGAGCAGTACTTGAGTCATCTGCAGCAGAAAGAAGTTACAGTACAGCATTTGAAAACAAAGCTGAAGGAGTCTGAGAGCAAACTTGAAGAAAGGTATATTTCACTTCGGAAAACAGAGTTAGAATGATTTACTCAGGAGCGTTTTGGGGTGGGAATCCAGGACCTTTTTTCTCATTTTCTGACCATGTAAAGACTTCATGAAGAAATCTGAAATAGGATCAGACTGATTAGTTGTTTCAGGTTTCATCGTGATGCTCAGTGCATACGTACCATGCGGCTTAGTTAAGAATACGGCTGTCTGTCTCTTTTCCCTATTTTTGAACTTGCCCAATAGAATATTTTTAAAGGGTAGTTTTTTACTAGTCTGATTTAGCACTGAGACCTTTTCTACATCAAGCGGTTTTTACCTGCAAGCATGTATTTGCTCCATCTCTTGTTCCACCTTGCTCAGAGACAGATGGCTACCAACGTCCCCCTTCTCCCCTAGCGAAAGAAAAGCTCTTACACACACCAGCGTGCCCACTGGTGGTTTTGCCCCTTGGGGACTGAATGGTTCACAACAGCCCTTTGTATGGACGCGAAGCGAAGCAGTGACACACAACCCAGGCGGGCACAGAGCGGGCTCTGCACGGAGCCCCAGGGCCAGAGGCCCAGGGAGCGCTTGGTCCCGCTTGCATCGCCCGACCTCCGCATCTGCGCGGGCTGGATCTCACGTGGAGGCCCCCTCTCCCCACTCCTCGCAGGCCAAGGCAGCAGCCCCTGGCCCCACGCGGGGCTGGGTGGGTGCAAAGCAAGGCGGGGGCTGCAGCCCCGAGCCGTTCCTGTGCCCGAGGCCCGTGTTGGCTCTGGCTGCAGGTGCCGAGCTGCTGGCAGGCACGGGGGACGCATCCGGGCAGCCGCTTCCCATCGCCTCCAGGGCGAGGCAGGAGGCCAGACGGCAAGCGCTGCACTCTTTCACTGACCGTCCACAGCACTGCCACTGCATTTTGCTTTTGCTGCAGGGAAACAGAAATAGAAGAGCTCAAGGCTCAGCTGGCACGGATGAAGGAAGACTGGGTTGAGGAAGAGTGTAAGCATGTGGAGCTGGAGCTGCACTTCTGGGAAGCGAGAAGGGAAAGTCAGGAACTCCAGCAGGCTGTTGAAAGCATGAGAAACAGCTTGGCTGAGAAAGAGAAAAAAATTCAGAAATACTTCATAGACATAAGCATTGAAAACAGGAAACTGGAAGCTTTGCTGCAGGGCATGGGGATGGCTCAGAAGAGCTCTGTGAGAGATGAGCAGTGCCTGGAGTCCACGTGGGACTCAGAGGGGAAGCCGTTAGCGTTGTGTGCCACGATGCCAGGCAGCCTCACCACGGAGGACCAAGCTCTGGAGGAGGTGGCAGGCAGTGGGCTGCTTCTTAATGAGGACACCGCTAACGGGACTGACTCATTTGAAGAGTATTTGACCGCCACAACTTCTGGGTCGAGCGATCCAGCTCCCTCCAGTTCCTCTGAGTGTCAAGAGATGCTTGAAAATGTTCTGGATGAAAAATCAACTTCTTCTCAGGAGGAGGAGAAAATCAGCAAGGTGATGGTGGAACAGGCCATCCCAACTGACCTGGTGCCATAAAGCCTAGATGTGGAGTAGCTCGTTCAGAACATCTTCAGAGCTCGAGATGCCTGCCCTCTAATCCCACCTGCTTTACTGAAGGAATTGGGTGAAATTTCTCTTGGAAGCATCTGTGATTCTGTTATCCTCGTGGACCTAACTCCAAGTGATCCAAACCCTGTCATCCTTTTTGTGAGAACAAAGAATTGCTAGTTAGAAAAACTGCAAACTGACCCTCAGACTAGAAGGATAGTTTTGTATAAATGATCAAGAGTGTGGAACACCCTGTTGCGAGCGTGAGAAGCTGCAGGTTGGAACACCAGCTGTGGAGCATGTGATGAGCAAGTGGGTAGAAAACAGATTAGATCTGAAGGTCAGTAGGATGGGAAAAACAGAAATGAAAGATGTAAACAGGGGGTAATAAACTGGGGGCTTGCATACAGGATGGCAGCATTTGCTCTTGACAACGGTCCCCCTTCACAAACTGAAGTGAGTTTGTCATTTTTTGGCGTGTCATCCCAATCCCAGCTGGACCGAGACAAGCATACACACCCATGACCCCCTCCCAGACAAGGTTCTGTAGGCTCCAGCACCCAAGTAGAGCCTCTCTTTGCAATAGATACATCTCTGGCAGGTGCTGTGAGAGAGAAGGAGCCAGTCCCAGCGCTGTCAGTGGCCACCCAACACCACCTAAATCCTCTCTCCTCTGCTGCAGGGTGACAGCAGTGGACCTCTTGTGTGCAGAGATAACAGTGCTGACTAATTCTGGCTTGTTGGAATGACCAGATAGGGGAAAGACTGCAAGAGCAAAATGACCCAGAGTCTACACCTCCACTCAGCACTTTTACAACTGGATCTTGGTACAGATGGGACTGTACCCAGCAATAATGGCTACTCCAACACCACAGCCAGTCTTCACCTCAACCTCCTTTCAGAGGCCAAGGCCAATACCAGGACAATCAGGTAGGTTTACACCCTGTCCCTTTCCATGCCAGAAGTGATGAAATTCTTTAATCTGCTGCAGGAGTTCCTGCAGGTCCTAAAGGGAAAAAAGCTTGAGCTGCTGGATGAACAGGATCTAGTTCAAACTGTAGTGTACCACGACCGTTTCTTTCTGGGGCACGGCCTGCTGATCGAAAGGCAGCCTGAGTGTCAAAGGGCTGCTCTGTCCTATCACTGCTCCTCTGAGTGCACACAAATGCTGAAGTTGACCTATTCCTTGAAATAAAGTTGCCAGTTTTGACAGATAACTGTGCTTCAGTCCAATTTGGTCTCCTGTGCAAGGCAAGGACTTCATGCTCGGCACCTGCAAAATGAGGCTGCAGGCAGCCAAGCAGGACACAAAGGGAAAAAGTCACTCAAAAGGGCTGAAACTCTGCCTCGTCAAAGAGGAGAGAAGAAGGGAACAGAGGTCATAGGAGGTGAGAGGTCTTGGGCACAGCAGTTAGAAACACAAAGTGTCTTAGGCTGGCTACTGGTGGGGCCCCTCTATGTATGTAAAATGCACCAGTGAACTTCAAACTCCTTCCCAGCCTCCTGAGGTGGGCCAGTGAAACGCTGGGCGAGGAGAGGCTGCTTTCCCCCAAGGGCAGCTGGAGACAACTGTGCCTCAAGGGCCAGGTGCCTGAGCAGAAGCCGTGCAGGTAAGGAGCCAAAGGGGAAGATGAAGGGCCCCGGGCCCCTGCAGTGCCGAGGGCTGCGGCAGCCCTGGGAGCTGAGTGTGCCCAGTGCCGGGCAGGCGACAGAGCTGGGTGTTCTGCAGTGGCAGGCATTTGTATGAGTCTTGTTTGATAATTTCATGTACGACAAGGAAACTATAGTGATTTATTTACATTTGTGGCTGGGCAGAGAGGTATTCTTTTCAAACAACATCAGTTAGAAAACTAACCTTTCTACTCCTCTGTAATGAATTTTAGTTTTGGTTTTGTTTGGTGGGTTTGTTGTTTGGTTTTTGTTTTTTTTTTTTTTCCTCAGAAGAGCTGCTTTTGAAATCCTGTGAATTACGTGGCTGTTTAGCACAAGTAGGCTGTGGAAGAGGAATCTGTCTTGTATTCAACATCCTTGTGGCTGGCCAGAAAAAGAGGTCCCAATGTTGAAAATCTTTCTACAACCTTATTAAGGATTCCCAGACCAAGGCAGAAGTGAGTGTTACTGTTGCTAAACTTCAGAGCAATTCCTTGTGTTGATGGGGACCTTGCCCACCTCCATAAAGGTGGTTTGCATCAGAAAATGGTCAAGGGTTAAAACAGCCGACTTCTCGTGAGAGATGTCATTTGGTTCTTGCAAAGGAAATCTCTATTACCAAGCATGGTCATTGATTAATGATTGTAGCAAACTGAAAATTATTTCCAAGTTCCTGTGCATTTTCTTGCTTTTTTCTGGTCAAATTACTCAAGCTATTGAGACAGACTTCCTTCTGTGGATGATGTTAGAAAGAGATGGTGGAAGAAATGGAGAAAAATATTCTGGGGAGGGCAGATCTTGGATGCAAGTTACAAAATCTTGGAATACAAAATGTTTGGCATAATAACATGTGCAACCTTAACTGTAATTCTATATTCATCTGCAGTAGCATTGCCCACTGCCATGTCATCTTAATCTGGAATGGTATCTACATCTGTAATGGTAGTTACAATGGTATCTGCATCTGCATCTGCCTACAAATTACAAATCATGGAACATGAGCTGTTCTGCATACGATTCTTGGCTTCTTTTTGTTTTTCCTTTTTATTCCGCCCCATCAGAAGAAATCATTGTCAGGGTCTCAGTGCATTGGGAGAGGAGGTGTCACTCTAACTAGAACTTAAGATTCCCCAAGCTTTTTTTCTTTTGTCTTTTTCTTTTCCCCATCAGCTACACTCCTATGCTCTGGCTGCTCCATTTCCTAGAGCCAGGGACAGCGGGGGTGTGCTGAATTTACTGGTTTAGATATTGCCTGGCTCACGGCATTAGCTGGGGGATGATGCCCCGCCGTGCTGTGTGTGCAGCTGTACCGGTGTCGGTACCTCCGTCGGTGTGTGCAATGCTGTCGAGAGCTGCAGTGGGATCAGTGTCTGCCACGGCCTCTGCATCTGCAATGGCATTTGAATCTGCCCTGGCATCTGCAAAGCTCTCTGCACCTGCAGTGCTGTGTGTGCAAGCGCACTGTCGCCTGCAGCTCTCCAGCACAGAGAGCATTGCAAACGTAGGTACTATTGCGGTTGCAGGTACCATTACAGACCCCACGGAAAATGCAGATGCCATGCCAGACACCACTGTAGATGCAGATGCCGTTGCATGTAACCTTGCAGATGCAACCAGCATCTCAGAGGCAGGTGCCACTGTGGGAGCCGCTGCAGATGCAGGGACAAGCGCAGATGCCACTGTAGGTGCCATAGGAGGTGCAGATACCATTGAAGATATGATGGCAGATGCAGATAGAATTTCAGATTCAGTTAAAGGTCTTGATACTGGTGTCTCTGATTCTGTGGGGATCAGTTTCTGTAATAGTATCTATCTGAGTACCTGTTTGTGTAGGATAGAATAGAATAGATCCAAACAGAACAGAATAAGAGTGGAATAGTACCTGTTTCTGCATCTGTACTAGTCTCTGTGTCTGCGTCCACAGCTGTATTTGTGTCAGAACCTTTATGTGTCGTGGTACTTGCATCTCTCATGGTAACTCTAATGGACTCTGATGGTACCATCAATTTTCTGTGCAATTGAATCTGTCCCTGTAATTGTACCTTCAGTTCTGTGTGTAATGGTGCCTGTGATTGTACTTACATCTGTACTAGTATGGTGTGGCAGGTGCACCCACCCGAAGAAAATGTGGCTCCCTGGCTGTTGAACCTTTCCTGTGCCCTTGTTCTCAGGGCTTTAGGGTAGTTGGGGCCCTCGTCCAATAGTGGCTGGTATTGCCCACAGGTCAGATTCGGCTGGGTTCAGATGGAGTCCCCTGGGTGAGCTATTTTGAGCTCGTCCCTCCTGGAGCAGCGCGCTGCAGGTGAGGACTCTCCCCTTGGCTTGGGGCACTGCCCAAGGAAACTTGAAGTGCGGAAACAAACTTTACAGCTCACAAAAAGTTCTAAAGCAGGTATGTTTACTGCAGCGCTGGGTGCAAGGGGGATCGCTCCTCCTAGCTTCAACACCAACAGCACACTTTGCCAAAAATTTATGCAGTGCAGGTATACATATTCATGGAATTAAGCAACACAAACATACATATGCATAAGCGAGGCGGAGTTAGTTTGCACAGACTCAGATCTGTCCCTGGTGGTCCTTTACTTCTTTAGAGGTCTTATCTTCCTCTTCCTCTTTAGATGAACTTTAGCCATTCACGCATGCTCTATTTGTACTTGGTGATCTCAGCAGCCTTTTAACCAGTTTTTTGGTCAAGCTGACACCGTTATTCTTGTTATCTCCCCCTGTGTCTAACACACAGTCCTTGGCGAATACCAGTCCCTGATAAGCTTAGGCACCAGTCTCTAATAAACAAGTTTCAAAAAAACATTCAAGGCCTCAAAATAACATTCAAGGTAAACAGGATTGTTAAGAAATTGCGAAGCAGTTAGTTCCCTATATCAAAATCCTTGGGGTTCCTATGGGTGGGACGCTGTCCTAAGAGGTTCCTCGAGGTTGAGTCTTCTTTTTTTTTTATTAGGTCAGCAATGGTCTCTGCAGTGATTTCGACAATGGTACCTGCAGCTGCAGCAGAATCTGCATCTGCAGGGTATGAAATGGCATCTGTATGAGCAATTGTGTTGCTTCGGTGTCTGCATCCTCAACATGATCAGGCATGGCATGCAGGTGCCATTTCAGATGCAGATGCCATTGGGAGTGCAAATACAATTTCAGATGCAGTTTCCGTTGCAGATGCTTGTGAAGGTGCATGTGTCACTGCAGATACCACTGCAGATGGAGATACCAGTACAGGCACCACTGGAGAAAGGACATCTGAAATGCTATCTACACCTGTGATGGTAGTTGCAATGGTATCTGCACCTGCATCTTTCTACAGGCTACAAAATCTTGGAATAGAAACTGTTCTGCATAATAGATGGGGCTTCTTTTTCATTTTTCTTTTTGTTCAGCCCCATCTGAACAAAGCAAACATGGACAGTGTCGTTGGGGCTTAGGACCGGAGGTGTCATTTTGGCTAGAACTTCGAATTCCCTGGGCTTTTCTTCTTTTTCGCTTTCTTTTTTTTCACTCAGATACACCCATCTGCTCGG